TTTTTTAGCAACGAATATAATTAGTTTAGGCTAATTTAATATTTTGTCCGATTATAGTTCATGGATGAACGATGAAATGGGCTGACACCTGGGTGGGGACTGAGATTGGTTTACTGAGAAATGGGGTCCCTCCAACAAATTGTACAAATGGTACTGTTTTGCAAGTTCCAAATGATAGTCCGATAAAAATTACAGTGGAGTGATAAATACTATTTTTTCTTAACGAGATATTTCAAGTTCGAGTCTCAAATATGAAGTCTCTTCCTAAGGAGCGCTTATCCCCTACTGCAGGATTTTTCAGCGTAAAATTCGAATTTACTCGGACATCAATACGGGCGAGCACACAGAATATAAAATAAAAAAAAGTTACAAATGATAGGGACTCTATCAATGGGCTTCGCTTTTATGTGAACCGTTCATAGGCTTCCCAGTTAGGTAATGAATGCTAAGTTTGTACAAATCAATTCTCAGCCGTTGACGCTTCTCTCTTGCCACAGATGATGGCATGTGATAATTCTTAACTACAATATTTCAACCGTTGTTTCATTCTTCTGCAATTTGTTTGTATAAGTCTGCGTCTAAAGTACTAATCAAGATATGATATGGAGTATATGTCATATTATCGTTGTAGAAGCTGAGATGTTTTGCATAAAGTAAAAAAAAAAAAAAGGGTCTAATTTCAAATAATGATGTTGAGATTGTCTTGCCATATTTCACATACGAACAAGAAGTCCCATGGAATAAATATGAAAGAATGAATCAAGTTTTGTTTTTTAAGGTATATTCTGTTGAGGTTTTTTGTTATTTAAGATGAAATAGTCTTAAAATGAGGGTGAATGAGAAATGAAGGGAAAAATAAAATTTTAAGTTTCCCCCTCTTGACAATGAGACATTGTCCCATATTGGAAGAGGAAAAAATTTTTGATGGGTATATATATAATTGCTCTTCTTGTAGCTCTTAAAGAGTTAAGAAGAAAGCAAGCCTCGCACCGTCGTCGTCGTCGCTCGGCTTCGGCTTATTTGTTAATAGTAAATATTAACGTAAGATTATCCGCATTTGTAACGGATATGTTCCAATCTGTGTATTGACCACCAGCTGCAATAGCAGCCGCCTAATGCTCTTCCCACCATGGCCAAGTGATTGCTCCACAAATATGTGCTGAAAACGCTCAACTTTGGCTATACATTGCACTCCTTCCTCTCCGGCCAAGTGATTGCTCCACAAATATGTGCTGAAAACGCTCAACTTTGGCTATACATTGCACTCCTTCCTCTCCGCATTTTCATACAATTTTCTGAGTTTCTACTCCTTTGTTCTGCATTGTTTTAACTTCAAACAAAGCAACTGTAAGTGTGATTTGCTACCGAACTTTGTGTTCGCTGAAACACTGGGGTTTGAAGTACCGCTACACCAGTGTGTGATTCGTTCTATTCTGTGAGGAAATAATCCATAACCTTGGGTACTAGGAGGGGATTAAATTCCTTAAGGAAACACTGTGAATTCAGTGGGCTCGAATTAATTATTGTTTCATTACGATAACTTATATTTTACAGAATTATTATTTACAAATACAGTAATATTGACGGGACTAACATATTCAAATAGCTAGGAAGGGTGTGAACGTATGTTTCTCGTGAATATATCATACGGGTCCTGCAATAATATGTACGTGGTGATAGCTTTAGTAGTACATATAACTGATCACAAAAAGAAGTGGGTTAGCTTTCTTTTTAATTTCTGACCAGAGTGTTCGATATTCGTAATGAGTTCGATTAAATTTGAATAAGTGCCAAAAATAGGGGCGGAGCTAGCTAGCATGCGGGATACTAGTTCGGGCGAACCCAATAGATTTGGTCCAGACCTTATATTTTTTTTATTAATCTCACCATCACGGGGGTTTAGACTGACCCCAACCTATATATTAGAATCCAAAAAAGGAAATACATGGAGGCGGGGGACATAAAACCTTACCTCTCCTTCTACAACAAGTAAGTTAGGTATTCCTAACCGTAAAGTTAGCAAAAAATTACATGATGTAAGGTCATTCCCATATTGATCACCAAATAAATAAGTTGATCCTAGTGTCGGATTGACTAGGAATAAACAGTTAAACTTCCAAAAAAAGAGGGAACACAACTCCCTAATGCCGATGTGTAGAAACATAGCTTAAGGAAGTTCCATTCTTGTGTTTTTTCCTAATTCTGAAATTAGGAATTTGATTTTGATCCATTATGGAGCATCCTCTAGCCTTCTTAGGGAGGTCTTTCCATTCATCGAACAAGACAGTAATACCATATAATAAGCCAGTTTTTGCTAGTACATTTGCCACAATGTCTACTTCTCTAAAGCAGTGTTGAATTTTGAAAAGATGGGTTTGTAGACCTTGTTTAATCTCTTCCACCCATTGAGCTAATTCACATGGAATAACATTCGTGTCAGTTAGCATATTTACAACAATCAATGAGTCCTTGTTGATTGTACCAATTAACTGCAAATAAGGCTGCCTGCACCTCAACTTGATTGTTAGTGCAGAAATGGAGTTAAACACACTATTAAGAAACTTTGTATTTGTCTTAAGAAATTTATTAAATATGTACGAATTATTAATTTAGAATCCAGTAACTTAAACAAACTATAATTCCAAATTTATAAACTTTAAATCCTGACTCCGACTCTGACCGGAAAGCCTCACATTGGGAATAAAGCGACGAGAACTCCCACATTCTAGTTAGCTCATTTACTGAATTATAGTCACCCGCTTAAATGTATCACCTCTTTACGTAGAGGACTAACTTCACTTCTAGTTGCAGGAATACCAAAAAGTACTCAATTTAGTTGATGAGCTTTTACGAATATAGCACAAGTGACAGACACATAAATGTGAAAACCATGCGGACAATGATGGAATCTTCCAAATTGTGAAAGAAGACAAGCAGATTTTTACAATTAGACCTTCAATTATGTAACTAACCTGTAACATGGACTGCCTCACTTCCTCCTTAACAAACCTCTCCTACTTAATCTTTTAGTGCTTGTAATCTTAATATCTTTAATTATTGTTTCTTTTTATTGGTTTCTAATTCAACAAATACATAGTTTAATTTTCTTTGTTTTAACGGTGGTTCGAGCCAACTTGAATGTATCTAGGTTATTCTATTGCATATCTATTACCTCACATCAACACCTAGAGAGATAAAAAGAAATCACCTAATATTTTTTTTCTTTTCTAGTTGATATATATATATATATATATATATATATATATATTTAATTATTTTCACATGCTTGGTTGACGGCTAAGTAGGTAAGTGCAAAACTTAAATACCCAATCGTTTGAACAAAATTCGAGTTAATAGGACACCCAACATTTTGTCCTAAAATGCAAGATTTATGCAAGAATGAAAAGATTTTGAGGTGCTCCATATTGGTGGATAGTGGTAAGATTTCAATTAGGAAACGACATTAACATCACATTAATGTCAATTTACTTTCTGATCAAAGGAAAATCTAGACAATAAAGAATATAGCATTATCAACACAACTTGCTGAAGATTTTGGACAAGGATTGTCAGCTAATCTGCAACTGAATAATGTTTAACTTGGACCCCACCAGTATTTTGATAACAAAGATCTCAGCCGTAGGTGGAAAATCAACTTGATTTTCCTAACCAAAAGACAAACATATGTGCATATTTTACTATTTGTTGCAACCCATATAGTGATTTAGCAATAGAGCATTGAAAAGACAAGTGTTTGGGCTGTAAGGGGTCTCTATTGTCCATATCTTGGTAGAGCGTATACACATGTACTATGGTCTCCTGCCAAATAATCTTGGAAGATCACATATGCACTACTTTTCAAGTCTAATTTTCAGTGATTTATTTTTAAAATTCTCTAAGTTCTATGTACTCGTAGTCTTACAAAATTTGACATAATCAAGTTATTATCAGATCATTACCTATAACTTTATAAAGTTTAAGTACCGTACACTTGTAGTATATTAGTTTCTATATCAGCTGATAAAGTTAACTATATAAAAATAAATAGGATAACTTTTCATATCAGTCTAATATAGTAATCTGAAAAATAAAATAATAACATACTATAACTAATTAAATTGTATTGATAATATAAATATTTTATACTCTATTAGTATATATATATGTTACATACACACTTATAGTATGATAAACATTAATTGGTAGTAAATTTTTAGATATTGAGGGGTCGTTTGGTAAGATGTATAAGAATAGTACTCAATAAGGTCTATTAGTAATGCAAATATTCGTAACGTGAGATCTTTACACAAATAGCCAGTCAGTTTCACTATTTACTTTTTCTAGCTGGTATACATTGATTATAAACTGATTACACATGGTTATACACATACTATATATTATATCGTCGCCGGCTATTTTTAGTTTAAGTAATTGAGTGGACTGCTATTTAGGTTAATTCTTCTTGTATTTAATTTCTAAAAAAAAAATTACAAAATACCCTCCACATTTTTTAGTTTTGCCATCAAGCGCAATTTTGTCTTTAGTCGTACTTATGCATATATTAATAGTCTTGGTATTTCTAATATCATGGCTTACATATATTAATTATGCATAACATAATACTAAATGGATTAGTTATACTTATATTGAAAAAATATACCAAACAAAAAATTAATAATACCAAAGCTAATATAGTATTATTATCTCTAATAAATCCTACCAAACGAATATATACATAACATAAATCTTTAAGGAAAAGCAGAAAAATATACCAAACAAAAAATTAATAATACCAAAGCTAATATAGTATTATTATCTCTAATAAATCCTACCAAACGAACATATACATAACATAAATCTTTAAGGAAAAGCAGAAAAATATACCAAATAAAAAATTAATAATACCAAAGCTAATATAGTATTATTATCTCTAATAAATCATACCAAACGAATATATATACATAACATAAATCTTTAAGGAAAAGCGGTATAAATAGAAAGATTGCAAGGTTTCTCGTGAGAGCTCACAAGTCAATAAAGCTGACCACCATTGCCATTACGCCACCACTCCAACTTGATCACTCTGGAACTTGTGATTCCAAATGCTTCCTATATTTCTTCAGTTCTAGATCTTCTTCAACTTCCATTTGCTAACTTCCTTCTTACTTTTCAAGATTCTTGATTCTACTAGGAATTTTCATTTTCCTTTTGGTGTTTGTGTATTTCTATGATCTGTGCTTCTCTGACACTCTTGTCTTGATCCCTTAATCCTGCAATATACAAGATCATCAGTGTCCAGGTTCAAAGTCTAGTCTTTTCGTTTTTTATTTTATTAAGCTTTTATTTAATGCTATATTATGGAACTTAATGAGTCCTAATGGAGGATAATAAATATTCATATTATTGAAATGTTATTGTAATGCTTTGAAGTACTAGTACTGAGCATATTATAGCTAGCTTGGGTTTTGGGTCACTGGCCATTTTTTTTAATTAGTGACATTTTCTTTATGTATTTTATACTTTTCTTGGTTGCTTAAAAATTAGCTACACTCTCCCACTTTATTGGGATTAGAAGAATACTTCTACTTGATTTGGATCTCATTGATAATCATATTTTTTTGGGGTTGCTGATTTTCTTGATTGGGTGCAGAAGTGTAATCAACTGATATGGATACTTACTGTGTGGCTTTGAAATCAACTGCCCATTTGGGGAGAGTGAGCAAAGGTGGCTTTGAAAATGGTGAGAAAGAGTTTTTGGGGGAGCAGATTAGAGGGAGTTTAAACAACAACAATCTCAGGGTTAATAATTTGTCGAAAAGTTTGAAACTTGAGAAGAAGGAAAGCAAGATCAAACCTGGGGTTGCTTTCTCTGTTATCACTACTGAAAATGGCAAAGAGACGCTGGTAAAAATCATTTCTTTTTATTCTTTGGGACATGTCTTGCTTCAACTAATGCCACAGTAGTGTTGTAGATACTGTGGAAACAGGTTGATTTTTGTGATATGAACTATATTGTGAATAGAGGCGGATCCAATATTTAAACTTGATTGATCCACCATTTAAGATTTTTAGCGTTTACTCATTGCACTTTTAAAATTATGATTGCGACTTTAATATTTGTTGAAGTTTTAGTACTAGTTTTTTACTATATCTTTGTGTTTCATGTTGAAACAAGTTGATATGTGTAATACGAAATATACTGTGAGTAGAGGCATATCCAACACTTAATGTTTTTAGCGTTAACTCATTGCACTTATGAAATTACGGTTGCAAATTTAATATTTGTTGGAAGTTCTAGTACTAGTTTTACGATATATTTGTTTCATGTTGAAAATACTGGTTTCAGTTGAACCGTAGTAAATAAGCTCCATCAGCCTCTGATTGGGAATGTTTGCTGGATCTGTGTAGACTGTAGAGACGCCACGTTTTGACAGACGACGGGCAAATCCCAAGAATGTGGCTTCAGTGATACTAGGAGGAGGTGCAGGGACCAAGTTATTCCCGCTTACGAGTAGAGCTGCAACCCCTGCTGTATGATATTTATCTCTTGTGTTGAATTTAAGTCTTTTCCAACTATGAATTTTAAGGTTCAGTCACTTATTAGGGGAAATTGGACCACCTGTGTATATTTCATGTTTGTTTTTTACTTTTTTGTTTAGGATGTGCTAGGATTTCTTTGCTATATTATTTGTCCATGTATATCTTAAACAGATCGATTAGAAATAGATGGAGAGTAGGTGTACAAGATTGCAAGTTGATGTTCCCTATGCCGGTCAATTTGTAAAGATTCTAATATTTTGTGCCACATGATATCAGGTACCGGTTGGAGGATGCTACAGGCTAATAGATATCCCAATGAGCAACTGTATCAACAGTGGTATTAACAAGATATTTGTGTTGACCCAGTACAATTCTGCTCCCTTGAATCGTCACATTGCTCGAACATATTTTGGCAATGGTGTGAGCTTTGGAGATGGATTTGTTGAGGTTGGAGACTGTATTTATGAATTTCCTGAAAGAACCCGTATTAAAGTCCCATGTTTGTTTTTTAGGTTTTCTAGATATCACAATTGAGCTTCTTTTCCTTCAACTGATTTGTTCAAACAAAATTTGCAGCGATGTAACAATTTCGGATGATTTGTTCTTTTGTTTTTTCTGTTTTCTTGGTTTGTTTTACTGACTGAAAAGGAATTCCTTCATAAAACAGGTATTGGCTGCAACTCAGACACCTGGGGAAACTGGGAAAAAATGGTTTCAAGGAACTGCAGATGCTGTTAGACAATTTATATGGGTTTTTGAGGTTAGTCTCTAAAACTTTTGAGGACACTAATCCACCACTACTCTTCTGTTGACCTGATATAATTTATGGAAAAAAACTCAACTTTCTTTATTGTTTCTTGAATTAGTTATTTTGTACTAGTACTTTTGTGATTAGAATTGCAACAATTCTTGCAGGATGCCAAGAACAAAGATATTGATAATATCCTTATTTTATCTGGGGATCATCTTTATAGGATGGATTATATGGATTTGGTGCAGGTATGTGCACTTTAACTACCAATGCACTACTCGTTCTTTGTTTTCTTTTTTAAGAAAAAGTTTCTGACTGTCTCCATTCTTCAAACAGAACCATATTGACCGGAATTCTGATATTACACTTTCATGTGCACCAGCTGGGGACAGGTCTGTATAAATTCCTATGAATTGATATTTCTTCATTACTAATATGCAACTAGCTATATATGGTTCTTTCATGTTCAGTGAATTGAGTGACCAAAATAAGAGGGAGAAAGTATACATTTATTTAAGTAAACACAACTTTTCTTTATACCTTATTGTGATTGCGTGAAGCTGAGATTAAGCTTTATATTTTTCAGCCGGGCATCAGATTTCGGGCTGGTCAAAATTGACAGTAGAGGCAGAGTTGTCCAGTTTGCTGAAAAACCAAAAGGTTTTGATCTAAAAACAATGGTAGGTGTAGTTGAACTCTTTTCTTTTATGATGTGTGCTGATTTCTTTCTACATGTCAGTGTTAAATCAACCAGCAAAAGTATAGCAGGATATGATCATTTGATTAGAACCTAAACCCATCCTTTTATAAGAATGAGAGATTCAGAAAACAAAAGAAAGGCAAATTCAATTTAGTAATGCCAAGTTATCTAATTCAACATTCAGACTAGTTCTCTCCTACATAATTCAATCCATATACTGTTCATGAGACTTGACCTGATTACTGTTCTTTTTTTCTTTTTACGCGCTGCAGCAAGTAGATACTACTCTCATAGGATTATCTCCACAAGAAGCGAAGAGATCCCCTTATATTGCTTCAATGGGGGTTTATGTATTCAAGACAGATGTATTGTTGAAGCTGCTGAAATGGAGATATCCTACAGCTAATGATTTTGGCTCTGAAATTATACCGGCAGCTATAAACGAGCACAATGTTCAAGTAAAAGATCTTGGATCTTCCTATTGAAATTATATTTGTGTACGAGTTCACTGGTTAAGCAACTGAAAAATTAGCTGTAGTTTTACCTAATTTATGATATCTTTTCAGGCATACATATTCAGAGACTACTGGGAGGACATTGGAACAATAAAATCTTTTTATGATGCTAACTTGGCCCTCACTGCAGAGGCATGTTTGCAAATTCCCCTTTATGCTCATCGTACGGAATGACTTAGGTGATTTTACATCAGTGAATAATACAACTCATTGATTTTTCATTGCAGTTTCCAAAGTTTGAATTTTACGATCCAAAAACACCTTTTTACACATCTCCTAGGTTCCTTCCACCAACCAAGATCGACAATTGCAAGGTAAGTGGATAAATAGAGCAAGTGTTTTGCATTAACAGTTCTTTTCTAGATTCTGATATGTTTCTTTTGCTGGTTTTCAGATTAAGGATGCCATAATCTCTCATGGGTGTTTCTTGCGCGAATGTTCAGTGGATCACTCCATAGTGGGTGAAAGATCGCGCTTAGATTGTGGTGTTGAACTGAAGGTTTGCATGTACCTTAACATATGCATTTATTTTCTCTCATTCGTGCAAAATGCACCCTTCTTTCTTGTACAGTATGGATCTCAAACACCGGTTTTACTCCCATTTCAGGATACTCTAATGATGGGAGCAGACTATTACCAAACAGAATCTGAGATTGCATCGCTGCTAGCAGAGGGGAAGGTACCAATTGGAATTGGAGAAAACACAAAAATAAGGTAAATGGACATTGAATTTAATACTGATTTTTTCAGGAGATTTACATGACACTAAAAATTCTTACAATTTGATCATGGTTTTCCTCATACAGGAATTGTATCATTGACAAGAATGCAAAGATAGGAAAGGATGTTGTGATCATGAATAAAGATGTAAGCTTTTTCCCGTCCTCCTTGGACCTTCTTTTATGCTATGTTGCACAGATCCTTCATTTGTCTTGACATACCCATGTCCAAATAAGGGTGTGGGTACTTCGTTCAGATTCTTCAAAATACACCTAAAATGAGCAAAAAGTTTTGACGTAGCCGTATCGGATTCTTCCACTTAACCGTACCGGATATGTTCCCGAGCCCGAGCAACATAGCTTTATGTGTCTTAATTATCAAATTTCAACCAGTAAAGATATTGGAGTTACATAGCGGAACATTTTTTTTATCCTCTCCCCATTTGATCCCCTTTGTTGGAGCTATTGCTCCTTTAGTGACTTGAACCCATGACCCTGGGGTTGTAGGTGGAGGATACTGACCATCTGAGCAACCCCTCTAGTCAGAGCGGAACATATTAGAGTTACACTCTCAATGATGTTCTTTCCTTTGAAACTCAGGGTGTTCAAGAAGCAGATAGACCGGAGGAAGGATTCTACATAAGGGGAGGATTAACCATTATAGCAGAGAAAGCTACAATTAAAGATGGAACTGTCATATGAATATGAGAAGCATTCTTGTTGGTCTACTAGAGACTCATGGAATCAAAATCTGGACTTGAAGAAGACCCATTTCCCAACACAACCGAGCAAATTCAGCAGCTGACTCACTGAAGGAAGCTTACTGTGCTCATGTAAAAAGAGGATGTATAATCGAGGCACTCGTCTATAATAAAACTGAAGCTGCACCTCTAGATGCCTAGTTCATGTTGTAAGAGTCAAATATATGTAAGATCAATGTAATAGGTGTAGTATTCTGAAGAATAATGGTTATTACTCAACCTACACTTCTAGTACTGTAAAAAACTACGTTAAAAAGAATATCTTACCATGTTTCTCTTATTGTGTACCTACTCTCCAAGCATTGGAACTCAAGGATATCTATTTAGGACTATTTGTACTTTATCCTCTCTTCAAATTTTACTAAAAAATTTTGTTTAGTAATTTCAAATTTATTGAGGATATTGTTTTTTGAATATCCTTCTTGAAAGTAGGATATCAAATTTTTGCATCTCTCTACCATCTCTACCGTGTATAATAAAACTGTTGAAATTATAGTAAGAGTTTAGTAATTATGTTGGATTTTGTATCTGTTACTGCTACTGTTTTCTAGAATAATTAGTTGTTTAATTTTAGGAGGAGTCTGCTAGAAGATTCAGAATTTTAATTAATTTTAATTATAGTAAGAGTTTAATAATTTAGTTGTAGGAGGAGTCTACTACTTTATTTATTTGGCTATTTAAAGCCCTATGATTAATAAAATTTTAAAGACAGTTTTTCAATCCTATTTTCAACCTTCTTGCTGCTTGCATATTTTTTCTAAAATCCATAACAATTTTATGTACTTCTACATTTAGTAGCAGAAAAAAAATAGTCTGAATCGTTTTGGGATGTCCAGTGGATGCTCTGCCGCATACTCATTCAAAGAACAAATGTGAAACTTTTTCTTCTATGAACTTAAGTAATGGAAAGGTTACTGTAATCTTTAGATGTTAATCGAAAATCTTGTAGTAATTGTGGCACAATATGTTATGAATCAAAATGACCAAAAGACTAAGGCTGAGGGCACATTTGGGAACTTAGCAAATTACATTTGGGACCCAAGTTAGATGGAGCATTTACCTATATATACAATAGGAAACATTTTATTAGGCAAAGCTATGAACTTGGTTTATTTTATTTTACTTAGTTTGTTAGAGGATAGATCTGGAACCTCCCTCCCTTCTCCCTTTTTCATTTCTTCCTATGGAAGATTTGGTTACTTGTTTTAAGCATTTGTAATTATTTGAAGATGAACTCTTATATTTGTGTATGTGGTTCCCATAATCCATTTCAATATAATATGGGTTCACTACATTGGTGCTCTCGTTGCTCGTACTCCATGCCTTTGGACTCTCATGCAATGATCTATACTTCCATCAATACCATACGGGATTTAGTGAAGGAGATGCAAGAGAACAACACTCATATGATCTCTTCTATTTGTCGTATGCAGTTAGTGCTACACAAAATGCAATTAGACTCCACGGAATTCGTTGAAACTCCAGAAATTTGAGATGCTACAGCTATCACCTCTGCACTAGACTCAGTTGATACAAACACTAAGGTGGCCAATATCGTGAAATCACATCTCGATTCACAACTTTCTGTTTTTGCTGTCGGAGATACAATACCCAAAACAATAATTCCCGACGGTGTGTTCTATGCTTATATTTCCGTACCGCAGCTTCAATCTTCACCTCTATCATTCTCAGTTAAGCGACCAAGTCTTCCACTTAAAGCCTGCGGACAGGAGCTTGACATGGAGTTTGGCTGCAAGGTGCTTGACATATTGCCGAAGAGGGATATATTTGCACATTTTCATGGTAATAATAGAGCTATTAGTTCGCTTCCATATGATTTTGGTTTCACGACTGCAAGTGGGTAGATACTGGGCAAGTAAGGGCTTCATATGATGCAAAAACAGATGAGACCACTCTGAAAGATACAACGGACAGTGCTGCGATAGACTGTACCAGCGACAATCGTTCTGATTTGATTGTCGAAAACTCACTCTTGTTGGACAATTCTGAGGCACCTTCTGAGGTGTTACAAAATCCCATAGCAGATTCATTACCGGAATATTCTGCAATTCTTGGACACCAGTTGTTCGACACAATGTCCAATAGACACTGCTACTCCAAGTCTTGCGAAGTTGTTTGTGCTGCGCTTAGCATTGATTACTCTGCGGAGGTACAAGATGAACTAAAGGAAATTGTTCACTATCTACATGAACCCAAGCGTTGCACTCGTCTTAATGGTCTGTTTGCAAATACAGTATTGTTTACTTGTTTCCTTCAAACTGGTAACACTATATTGGCTAGAACGCTAGCTGGAGTTGTGACTATGCGTATGCTACTTAATTTTTCATTTGATCTCGGTTCAGATGATGGATACTCACACAACATCACCAAAATGTTCGATAATAGTTTTCAATCGGATCTCCCATTAATTGGATGCCCGACGAGTGAAAGTAAATTGATTGGTTGGTTTTACGTTGTAAAGAGGTTGGCAGCTGGTGAGTGGGTCACAGTTAGAGTTCCTGCTTGTGGACTCTTTTATGTTGCTTACTCCAATGCCTTAGATATGTTGACGGTAGACCTCCTATCTACTTACAGTCAAATACGTCAAGAGGACATGCCCATGGTGCGAAGGTTGGTTGCGACACACTTGGGGGAGTTTGTTGCTACTGTTGCACCTACTTACCTCAAGATTGACATCATGTCAATGTTTGATTATCTTACACATGGTGCTAAGATTCTTGTACGTGTAGTAGCCCTCGACATTCTATCTACCAGGCTGCTATTAGCCTTTGGAGCGAAACCTTATTCTGGAATTTATGAGAAGACTTCAAGCTCACTGAAAGACCAATTGGAAGCTATCACACCAGCACTTGAAAAAGTTTCAGATGCTCTGGGTTCCATTAAAAATCATGATTTCTTGGAGTATTTAAAGAAGTTCCTGGACTGGAGTGTGCAAAGTGAAGCTGTTAGCAATACTGGTAGCTTGATTGGCTGTAGTGTAAATGACCTCGTACTAGCTTTATCAACATATCACATTCAAGTCAGCAATGGCAAGCGACAAAAGAGGGGAGAGCCTTCTGTGGAGATTAGCGAAGAAGACTGTGTGGACAAGGTTAATGTGATTTTTGAGAATGGACAGCAATATACAGGTGCTCTTTTGGTTGGCGTTGATGGTGTATGGTCTGAGGTGTCCGAAATGCATGCACGGATATGCTACAAAGATGGAAGTCCTTTCCAAACTGATTTACACAGGGAATCTGGTACCTGTATTACAGATAACAGAGGCTTGAATGACACTGAATTCACAGACACTGGACAAAGACTCGAGTATAGTAAGTTATCTCTAGCTTTGTTTGTTAGCATTATGATTGATATACATATGTATGTCAAAAGTAGTTGGCTGAACAACGAGAGAGGTATATTCGATGACATAATTGGCAGGAACTTGCTCGCCGCGCTTAGCAAAAATTCCACTCAAGTTCTGGCTGTTAAATTTGATCTTTTCAAGAATTGGCAATTGCTGGCCAAATCTCAAATTTCTCATTCTGTTGGGCTAGAGTGTCACATTGAGATATTGTCCTTTGTGGAAAAGGTCCATTTGGAACCTCATGCTACTTGGATACATACAAAGGTTCTATCTGTTGTTGGGCTTCGACAAGATGAAGTCGATGCCGTGGTGTCTGTCATGAAGGTTGAAAAACCTCCTTCAGTGCTATATGCTGATTTTGGTGGATCAGACGCGCATAATCAGGAGATTAAAGAAGTCGTTGAGTGTCCTTTGCCTCACCCCAAGCTTTCTGAAAACATTGGTATCCAGCCTCTTACATGGATCGTTCTCTATAGAGAGCCTAAAGTTGGCAAAATAATATTTGCAAAGTCAGTTGCTCAACCTTACAAATTAGTCCAGCTTCATGCCACAAAAGCTGCTAAGAATGCTAATGTGGTCTTGTCCATTGTTTCCAATTTTAAGCTATTGACATCAGGTGCTAGAAAGCCTATCCTTAGCATATGTGAAAATGTTTATATAATTAAGTGAAGAGGAGAATTACTTTTTTGGCACAAGGAGAAGATTCACATTATAACGTTGTTGTTCCTAAGTTGTGCCGTCCAAATCTGAGGTTACTTCTTGTAATAAAAGGCCGTGAAGTTTGTTTCCATTATACCAAGGAATTATGTGGACGAGTTAAGGTTTTAAAGCTGGATTTTGTGGACACCTTCAGTGTTAGAGATGCTTTTGTAGCTAGAAGATTGTTACAACTAGCATATGATATCTCTCTGCACCAGGATGACAACAAACTAAGAGAGGCCCTCAAGTTTAACTTTTCGTTTGATGTGCTCAAGAAATTTCATCATGTACTTTGTTTATTCAAGTGTCGTTTCTTGACTAAATTTCCATCGGATGTACCAGTAAAGATTCTGGAAGACTTTAGCAGCGTTGAGGAGGCAAATCAACTTATCATTGGCACATTTGATGTTACGTACAAATCAAGTGAAAAGAGAGTTCACAATGCTAATGTCGCTTTGGATTCCTTGTTGAATGTTATCATTGTCATGCGGATATTTTTATATTTCCTCCGTTGGATTGACCAGGAAGACAATGATGATATTTCTCTTGTTGCAACAACTCTCGACAAATGTTTGAGTCTTGACAAATTCAGTTGTACTGTTTTGCAGCTTGGCACTACTGAGATACTCACATTGATTCACTCGAACCTTGAGGACAAGGTTCTTTTTGAGGTTGGAGGAATTGTTATGAATCAAAATGACCAAAAGACTAAGGCTGAGGGCACATTTGAGAACTTAGCAAATTACATTTGGGACCCAGGTTAGATGGAGCATATACCTATATATACAATAGGAAACATTCTGTTAGGCAAAGCTATGAACTTGGATTATTTTATTTTACTTAGTTTGTTAGAGGATAAATCTGGAACCTCTCTCCCTTCTCCCTTTTTCATTTCTTCTTCCTATGGAAGATTTGGTTACTTGTTTTAAGCATTTGTAATTATTTGAAGATGAACTCTTATATTTGTGTATGTGGTTCCCATAATCCATTTCAATATAATATGGGTTCACTACATAATATGCCTTATTCATCTCTGTATTGCATAAGTATATCTGTTGACCATTATAATGTAATTAGGATTTATTCTGGTCTTTCAAAATGTGAACCACCAGTGATGCATTTACTAGAGTGAATAGTATTGCCATTTCTTGAAATTGTACTTCTGAGTCAAAATGACAGTGTAATGTGTATCATAGTATATTTGTTGACCACTGTGATGTAATTAGGATTTATTCCGATTTTCCAAAAGCCAAATTACCAGGGGTCATTTACCAATA